GTGGTTAACTCCTCCATTCTAAGCCCCCCCCCCCCACTGGGGCAGAGTTTAGAGGGTTGGAAAGAATTCTAGAAGCCACGCTTTCCCTACCTTGGTTAATTCTAGGAGCCTGGTATATCCATCCCTTGTGCAGTCAGGTTTGTTGATCTGATTTCAAGATATGTACAGTATAATTAAGTCATAGTCAGAAGGGAATCCTGGAAAGATAATTTGAACACTTCAGGGTGTCCTTTTGCTTAATTAATCATTGTATTCAGGTGCAAACACAGTATGCAAGGAAGGGAAAAAAGATCCACACTGAAAACTCTAGCTAAGCATTCATCCACATCTTCCAAAATTCAGTGTTCTTCAAGTTAAATCAGTTGTCAGCATCATATGGGACTCACCATCCCACAAAGCAAAACCAAAAAGACTTGGACATCTACTCAGGGTTGGCATTGTTGGCCATTTACCAAAACTCACAGATATTCAGGGGATCCTCTGTCAGTTTCCAGAACAAGGGGCTTTACTGCAGCCCCTTGTTTCTGCCAATTCTACTACCCTCTCCACCTGAAAGAGCGATGACAGAAGAAGAATGGACCATTGTGGATTGGGTCTAAAGGGGAGTGCAAGTGAACGAGGAGCAGCAGAAGTAATAAGTGTCTACTCCAAGGGCGGGGGGTTGGTGCCCAAGAGCTCACCAGGTAGATGCTACATTTGCTTATGCTTATGTTTACTCATGGCATGTGTTTCCCCACCCCATGAATAGAGACAGGCAATGGGGAAAGAAAACAGCTTATGGCATGATGGAGCACTGTATAAGCAGAATGTGGGCTGGCTGCAAGAGAACAGTGCTACTTTCAGCAGCATTCCAACATCTGTTATATATTCCATCAGAAAATTATCTCCTGGGCTAAATAAAAATAAGCCTTTTGAGAGCTGGAGATGAAGAGTCTAACACCTATGAGGACTTTCCTATGGAAAAGGTGAATAATTCACTTGTTCATAAAAAGAAAAGGTCAAAATGATTAAGACTCATTAATACCCCTGAAGTGAATTGTAATTTGCATGGCTATTTGCTAAAAATCAGAAGTTGGATGAAATTATTACAATTTCTGAGTGTTATTAAAATACATTTAATTAGTATTTAATTTTAAGGAAATATTTTTGTTACATTGTGAAAAAAAATTAAAATGAATTTACTGTTTTTAACTATAATTGCTAGTAAGTTGAGCTTTGCTCTGGTTACTCTGCTACCATTTGTCATTTTTTTAATCAGGATTGTGGAGAAATATTACCACATTCTTGTTCCTCTTTTGCTGTGTTCAGAAGAATATGAAAGAACCTGGAGGAGAGAGAGATCACATGTCATAATTCTGCAAATATCTAAAAATAGATGTATTTGGAGAAAGGTTGAATGATTCAACCTCACTGATCTTTTCCTTTAATGTAATTTGAGTTACTACCCCAGTTAGGTATATTTCTTTAGGTAAGTGTAATGCACTGCCATGAAATGGTTTAACTCTATATCCTGGGCTATTTCAGAGTAAATATAATGCTATTTCTCTTTGGCCATGGAATATTGCAAATATTTGCGAATTCTGCAGTTTGCTATAGTACTTGACTAGCTATAATGCCATCCCTGCTCTAGCTATAGATGTATAGTAAAATGAAGATAACTCTCAGGATGTTTCTTAATAAAATGGTAAAATATCTGCTACATGATACTACTGTTAGATGTATACACAGTTGGCTGAATGGCTGCACCAAGGAGTGCTAACTGGCTCCATTTCAGCTTGGAAGGAAGTATCAAGTGGAGTGCCAGCAGGCTCTGTGCTGGACCTCATGCAGTTCAGCGTTTTGTTGAATAACATGGGTGAGGGAATGGAGGGGCTACTTCCTTGGCTTGCAGGTGGCACAAAACTGGGTGAGGTTGCTAATATTTTAGATGAAAGAGAAACTTCAAAAAGACCTAGACCATGGACTAAATGAATAGGATGGAATTGAATGAGGAGAAATACAAAGTTCTGCATCAGGATAGGAAAAATGTAGGGCACAAGTACAGGATGGAGGAAACCTGGGCGGGCAGTAGAACGTATGAAAGGAATCTGAGTGTCCTTGTTGATCACGAGTTAAATATGAGCCAGACGTGATACAGCTGCTAAAAAGGCAGATGCTATCTTGAGGTGCATTAACAGGAGTATAGAGTCCAGGTTACCAGCAGTAATTGTTCCTTTCTACTTGGCCCTGGTCAGGTCTCATTTAGAGAACTGTGCCCAATATAGAGATTCCATGTTTTTTACTAAATAGAGTTTGTATCCTTCATGGCTACAGCTTCTTTGATCCTGGCTTTGGTGGGCTCATTTCTCACACCGTTTCAGAAATTAGGAGAGGTGAAGAAATTGAATTAACACACTGATTGAAGTTGTACTTGCCCCTCAATAATGTAAAGATACAAAATTATTAGCAAAGATTGGATTTGAGGCCATATATAAAATGAGAATAATATACTTTTAATAGCTTACCATGTATTGATATGTTTGCTGCAGTCTAATTCCTGTAAGGATAGGCTACTGTTAAATTTTTGTTTTCAGAAAGAAAAAGTATGTGTTAGAGGAAACAATTAAGGCCCAGTGCCATGCCCTTAAATGTCTGAAAATTGATGGTTTTTTAAGTTGATCTACCATAAAATGTACCCAGAAAGCATAGCTTGTTCATGTAGGTCCCCTCTTTCTTCCTGCATGAAATTATTGTTGACTGGCAGCTGATTGTTTGACTTATTGGAAAGAATATTCTTTGGGGCCTCGGGTCTATGGCAGTCCTTCACAGCTGCAGTCCCCAAGGGTTGAATGTGCTAATGTGAATCAAATCTTAGAGGTCAATCCTATATGGATTTGCTTGGATTTGCTTTGCATTTAGGATTGGTGTCTTGTGTACCGTATCGGCACTGAGAACTGGTGGGCAGCCTTTTTTTCAGTAGTACCCCCAGATCACAGTGACGTTAATACTTTTTTAAATTGTGTATTTTAAGGTTTCAGTTTCTGAAAGGCTAAGAGCATCAAGTCAGTTCAGTCAAGCTTATTCCCAGGTAAGGGTGAGTAGGCTTGCAAGCTGTTAATAGTTCTCTTCATTGAAGTCAAATCCTTCTGTCCTTTTAAAATTGTTTTAAAAATAATTATGGTAACAAACAAAGTAAGAACATAGCCAGAGTGTTTCTTAAAAAAGAAACTTCACTCATCTCCTGAGAGTATAGGTGGTTACATATTTAACAGAAGCATGAGGCTCATTTTAATATATAGAGACGAGCAATTTCTACATGTTTACAAGTCATATGTTGGACACAATCCTTTTAAAGAGAACAAAGACCCAAGAAATCTACTGTTTTGAAATACTGCAGCTGGGCTCTTAATGTGTACTCAATATAAATACCCTTAGAATTTCTTGTCCGGTTATTTTTCATACCCCAAAACATGAGACAACCCAACAGTCAAAAGGCTCCCCTTTTCGGTAGTGTGAATATTTTAGTATTGTGTATTGGACATTCAACAGCATGCTACAAAACCAGGAAGCCTGGCTCGCTCTTGAGACTGAGGTATAAAGCAGCCGCGGAACTGTTGTTGACCAGTATCCTGTGCAATCCTCTAACTGTCTACTCCCTTGAGTTCGATGGAGCTTATGCCCTCCTGATAAATAGATTTAAAATTGTCACCTTCAGTGGTGGAATTCATAATGGAAGCTGGCTGGTTAGCCTGTCTATTTCTCTTTCCCAAAGTCCCTATTTTTCTTCTGAACTAGTAAAAGATATGAGAGTCAGCTTTGTCACCTGGGAAACCTTGGGCTGTTTCGAAGCTGGCGTTCTACATGTATAATGTGTAAGGATTTAAACAAAAGATGTACATTAAAATATTGGTTTTAGAAGAAAGTGTTTGATATGGCCTTATTTTGTTTGGCAGAAGAGATGGCATGGGAAATGTAGGGGATGGGCTTCATTTGATTAGTGAAAGAATCATCGGCCTCTTTTTCTACTAAGCCCGAATTCCTCAAAAAGAGGTATTATCAAGAAAGTCTCAAATTTCCTTCGACCTAAGTTTTCTCCTGGCTGCTTTTTGATAACCCTAAACTAGTCACTACTGTACCTCTTACCACAGAATAGTCAGTATTTCATTAATGAAATAGACGACCCTAATTTAATTTAGGCTTGAATGATCTGAAAAAAGAAACTCAGAAAAAAAAAATTCTCCGTCTAGTGCTTCCCCTCCCAATGC